GGTGAAAGGTGAAAGTTAGCTCTATACCGGAAGTACGATTTCCACTTTCTGCGTGACCAATGGGGCGTGACTGCCATGACTTGCGTTACGCGAGTGGCATTTATCAAATAAACAGCGCAAAATTACGCAAGCGATGACGACCGATGACACTCAGCTGAGGCTTAAGAGAAGTCATTTTAACGTTAATGAATAGCTTTCCGAGATACAGGAAGACAGAATTGTTTTGATTTATGTAGCTGCTGCGGGAGAGAACTCAATTAGGGAACGCTGGGTCAGCACAAAAAAAAAACAGAAAGAAACCGATACGTGTTTGTTTTGAACGTCCGGTGGTCGGACGACTCTCGAGTGTCGTGTGGTGAAGTTCCACAGACTTCTTTGAATTTCAATGTCACCTTTTGGACTCTTACCCCAAGGAAGCCGGATCCGTAAGGGGATTTGATAGGATTATACCTTATTTGCCTGGTATCATCAAAATTTCACATTTTCGCGAGATATTAAACGCGCGCGAACATAGCAGGCGTGTGCAAGCTTTCTGGGGAGAGGGGGTGTGGCTTCCATCGAGGCTCAGCCTTGAAAAAACGATGCGAATAAAACTTATTTTCACAAGAAAGATTTTTCACTTAGCCTTGTCTCGAAAGTGAGAGTTTTTGGAACTCTGAAATAGCCTATTGGTTTGCTAGTAAGAAAATCTGGAAAACACCCTCAGAATCTCATTTTGTGGGTGTGGCTTGAAAAGTGCAAAATTCAGTAGACTATTGTATTTATTTGGGAGTGATTTAATTAATAATAATTTGTATTCCTCGAGCCCGAAAGGGCTCCGAGTCAATTGCTCATGAGGCCGAAGGCCGAATGGGCTATTGACTCAGAGGCCATATTGTTTTAGTAAAATCCAACTAGTTGGTAAAAAATATCGAGAATAAAAAACTTTAAGCTAATTAAAGCTAGACTTTAATCCTTTTTGCCGTGAAAAAGCCGCGCTTTTCGCTACTAGCGGGCTATAAACATATAGCCTAGTAGTAGTAGCTCAACCAATCAGAACATAGCATTGATAATAGACCACTAGTTGGATTTTAGTAAAACGATTTAGCCCTTGCAGAGGGACGAAAACCAGCCATTGATAGTTACATCAAAGCTTTGTTCTAACTCCCAGCCAAAATTTCACCAAGCAGCTTTGTGGTGTCATTTTTCCAAAAGAGGCAGGGTGATCCAGATTGTTTTAATGTCTTTCCACAGAAAATCAATAAATTTAGTAAAGAAAGAGATAATGTTGAGTCAGGGACAAAGGAGAATGAAGATACTGTAGCAGTATCTCATTATAAGGTTAAAGATGACCTGGATAAATAAAATGAACAAAAATGTTTGCTGATCGCAATATTTCAAGCATCAGTAAGTATCTAAATATCAAAGAGACGTAACTTATGAAACAGAATTGCCTTAAGTGTGGGCCTCTGGGATCAGGGAAAAATTCTTCTTGTGGAATCCAGAATCCTAGTAATTGGAGTCCAGAATACAGCTCAAGGAATGCAAATCACACTAACAAGTAAAATCCAGAATCCAAGTTCCACTGACGAATAATCCGTTACAAGGTCTAAAAATTTAATAAGCGCCTAGTGCGGTTAATCGAATAATTGTGGTATGTGTATTGAGTATGTGGTTTTTGAAGCCGTGGACAAAAAAAAAACAATAGTGTTAACATTCAAATAAAATGACTTTGGCAGCACTTAATGCAGTGCGGTCTCACTTATTTTATAACCAGAAATTTCAGGGTTATTTAATTTTGTCATTTAGAACTCTTGGGAGTGAAAAGATTCTGTATGTAAAAAAAACACTCATGAAAGCTTTTAACAATACTTTTGTTCAGACTCTATTGTGACATGTATTGTGTTACTGTAGACAATAAGAGCTCCTAGTAAAATTTAATGAGCATGTACAAAAGAAGGGTGAATACATGAAAGTCCAATAGAGTTTGCTTTTCTTTCTTTTTCTCTTGGAACAAAAAAATGTGCTCTTTTAGTAAACAGGTGTGAAGGAATAAATTGTTATTATTCAAGTATATCAAATCACTGAGAAGTAATTTGAGAAAATGCTTGCATTGACCCAGACAAACAGTATTCTTCGAACTAGGCTTCTGATTTTTGATTGTTAATAATTAATGATGTAATTAGTCAGTTCACATGAGGACTCTATCAAAATACTCATTAACAGTAACAGTTTTCAAACCACAACTGAAAATTATAATATTATTTGTAAACCTTACTGGTGCAGGGAAATTTCTGTCTTCTTCCATATAAGAATAAAACTTACATCACTTGTAAGATAAAAACACAATAAAATCAGGTCCCTATGATTTTCTTCTTGAAATTTAAATCTCAAAACCCACAAGCAAGTTTACTCTAAAGAAGAAACTACACTTATGGCTTTGCCAACACGGCAGAATGGAACAAGACAATTTACATTCCCTAATTAATGCATCCCTACTCTCAAAAATACAGCTGAAACCAAAGTTATAAAATTTGGCACTATCAGTGTAAAATTTTTTTTCTGTGACTTTCAACAGAGGTGGAATTTACAATTTTTTTTTGTCTCACAGTAAAAGACACAGTCAATGTAACCACAAAACACATTGATATCTCTCTCATACAAAAAAAGCAATATACTTGTTCTTTTTTCTTTGGGTTGCCAATTTACAATATTTCTAGTATACGTAAATCTGACATATTTCAGTCATAAACATTAGCATGGGAATAGCATATCTGATACTATGTACTGTACAGTGACTTCCTTTCATGTTTTCTAGATGGCCAGGAAACTGTAGGAGCCCACTCTAATATTGTTTACAGTGAGTGAATAAGCCTTGGAAAGTTGTTAACGTTACACATTGACTGTACCTTTTTTCTTGTGGCTTTTAGAGTAATAATGATTTAACAGGTGGTGTAAAATTTACATAGACCCTCAAAATTTTCCAGTGAAAGCTGAGTATTAAAAACAACATTCAGAAACATAAATATGAAAAATCCCTAAATATTCCAAATGGCAATCAATTTTTCTGGGTCACTTTTAAAACAACAGCTTTAAAGAATGATCTTAAAGCATGGAAAAATTGCGAATGTGAACAATAAAATACATTTTTTGTCAACTGGAATTTGTGAATCGCCACTGGATTGTATCTACAAAGAAATATTAATACATGACCACAGTTCCTTTTAATCTAACTAGCCTTCAGATTTTGGCGGTGTAACCCAGCCGTATTTCTCATGCGTTTTAACCAATCGTTTATAAGCGGATTCGGCTTCCTTTTTGGAAAAGGCCTTTTTTGTTGATCTGTCGATTCGTCCTTGTCCCTTCACCACGGCAGCAGAAAATTGTAACACAATGGCTTCTACAGTGTATGCGCTGCTCCATCCCTTAGGAGTTAAAAGTTCCATGCAGATAGCTCCACCGTCAAGAACAAAACCCCCTTCAATTCGCGGCGCTGAGACTCTCATAAAAGGAGGTGCGAAGGGAAAATTATCAGGAAACGTAATATTCAACAAAATAAACTTGGTTCCGGTCTCGACCATGTCTCTGTAAAGTAAACTATCCGTATCAATTTTGTATAATTTCACGTTCCATTCGAACAAATTATCCTCAACAAGTTCGGCTGAAAACAGTTTGTTATCACATCTCATGGTCACGTCGTGAAACTCTTTCATTAAACGTTTTGAACGGACCCTTTGAGCGTGAGAAGAAGTCATTTCACTAACGTCAGTATTGCCTTTCAAGCCATTGCTCCCTTGAGATTTAGCCGGATTTGAATTATTCAAGTGTCTGGTTTCATCATTACTCTGGTTTGCTTGATTGCTGAAGTCCTCGTCTTTCCTTTCATTCTTGTGATCTGAGTCTCCCTTAGCCTTACATCCATTCTTGTCGGACCCATCTCCATTGCGTGTGTCGCGTCTGACGAGCTTACGGAAAACGGACGCCATTTTGAAAACGATGAGACGAAAGAAACAGAAACAGCAACACGCAGAAGGAGAAAGAGAGTTATATAATATACCCTTGCGCTCCTCCTAGAAAACTGTACTTGAGATAAAAAAAGATGCTGTAAACTACGGGTCACTTGCCGGGTAAATTCCAATTGATTTCTGCAGCGGCATTTAAATCAACTTGAGGAAAACATCCAAACACATTTGATATGCCCTGATTGTACAGACCCTCAACCCTTTCGTCAAACAACAATAAACTATATAGGATCGCATTGACTTGTGGGATGATTGACGCGCCCACGAAAACTCAGCGGTTCGTAAAATACACTGAAACGAGGCTCAG